CGCGCACACAGACACACACACACAGACACACACACACAGACACACACGCGCGCGCCAGCGCGCGAGCGCGCATTATCACTCACGCGTATACAAATGAGAACACATACGCACGCTCACAGAGTAAAGAATATTAAGGTATATTATATATTCGCATCTAGATCTAGTTTTCTGTACCGGAGGTTTTAGGTTGTAACTACTAACTACATATTGCCCCTCGTTTCCAGAGAAATATTTTGTAATAAATTATTTTGCTAAGGCAAGACGTTGCTTGCAAGGGATTTCCGAAGAAACGTTCACAAAACAATCGCGCACACGCACACGCTCACACATGAACTCGTTCGCACGCTCTGATGTTAAATATGAATTAAATTATTTGAGGCCAGTCGGTCTTACAATGATAAATGTATTGCTCATATAATTATGTGCCTTGAAAAATTTGGTCTCTCAAGTATTCTTAGTCGTGCTCATGGAAATCAAGATCCATTCCAGTTTACATACAAGCAAACACATTTTTAAAAACCGTAGAAATGCTGTAGCCTACTAATTTAAGTAGATATTGTTTTTGAGTGTTTGTTTGTTTCATTTCGTTTGGAGAGTGCAAAATGAAACGCCTTGAAACACCTAAAACGTATAACCTACGATGGAGACATTCACATTTTTATGCATGCAACACGCACGACCTGCCCTGAAAATGTAAAACACACCACAATGCTTATTACAAATATCAGAAACCAATGTCGGTAACAGACTTTCCCCCAAGAACCTTTTTATAACCTCCAATTGCTACCCCTTATTTTGTCCGCTTCCAAGATAACCATCGTGCCATTGACAACCAGATGTTACATTTCCCCACACTCCACTCCACCCCTTCCCCTTCCAAGCAAACAAAATCATTATTTTTCAATACGTACCGCATAACTACAAGGTACCGTACATCTGCAGCCTTTGTCTCGTGAAATTTTTGAAGAAAAAAATAGACTGCTTCTTCTCAAAACAATCGACAAGTACAAAATGATATAAATATGTAAATTGTTTGGGATCCGAATCGATTAGTCTGGACTCTGAGAAATCCTGTAGCACTAAACATCGCTAAGGTGAACCGAGAGAGCTATCAACAATAAATTATTGCCGCTACAACAAATAATCGCATTGACGAAGAAGGGAAGAAACACGAAGCGCTCACCCGCAGTCAGAGTTGAGAAAAGGTCAAGGCTAGCCAAGATGGCGGCCTGGGCCGCTGTTGTTTTGTTATTACTTTCTGGAATATCGGTGCAATCTGAATTGGATTCTGATATACATGGTGTCCTATCTGCTATCGACAAGCTTGTCAGTTATTTCAAAGTCAACGTACAAAATTTGAATTTAGATGGTTTGTTTGGACTGCGCGTTGTGGAAGGTAATTTGACTTCTCGTATTTTGCCTTTTTATTTTCTCGTACTCAACTCTTAAGTCTTGAGTCTTGAGATTTGGAAGAACAAAACGTTTATAATCTAGAATCTAGACTAGATTCTAGATCTAGTCTTTTGACTTCACCTTCAGCTTTTATTATCCCCAGAGACGCTGGGGGAAGAGTGAACAATACCGGACGAGCCTTGCGCGAGCCAGAGTACTTCCGTATATATATGACAGGCTCTATCAAAACTGGCCCTCCCTGCGTCGATCGTCATGTTTATGAACAAAACTAAGTTGAGCTGACCTTACCGGGAGCAAAGTTAATTGTTTCGACCAATGAGACTGCGTGTAGCGATCGCACTATCGGCTTATGGGGGAAGAGGTGTTGGGTAGGGGCCGCGGCTGTCGGTTTTGTGCGATGTGATTTTTTTTTTTAATTACAGAAAAACTCAACACTCTTTCAACAAAATGATGATGCTGTAGTGGTGGTGGAAGTAATTAGTAATGATGATGCTGTTGTGGTGGTGGAAAGACCCTGAGTTGTCGGTTATCGTGTACTTAGACACTGCCATTGGGTAGATCTAATGAGAGTGCAATCAGGGTTAGGCCTATACTTATATGTCGGTGAGTATCACTCCAAACACGACTCGAGTCCGAATATGAAAAAATGTTATTCGGATTCTGATTCTTGTCCAGCATGACATCACTTCCAACTTCCTGTGACTCGTGACTCCGGCTTCCTGTCCTGTCTCACTCGTGACTCGCCTCAGGCTGGGTAGAGACCGGGATCACTTCGGGCAAAAAGGCGTTTTGTGCAGGAGCCGAATTTTTATCTTATGATGAATTTGAGGCCGGCCTGAAAAGTTATAGCGCTTCTAATAAATGTTTATTTGTCAAGAGGTCATCAGAAGCAATTAAAGATGGCTCGTTAGCGTGTGTCGGGGTCGGATGGGCGGCCTGCACACGTGTGGCTGTGTGCGTGTTGGGGAGGGGGGGGGGCACTATCGGTCCGGGCGTTGAACGTCGCATACGCGTCAGTCTTTTTCCCCCCGGCAACTGATCATTATTACAATAATACGCTAGTCTTGACGTAGATCTACGTAATGAATTGTGCGCTGGTCTATGGAATCAAAAGTTGCCGTATGCTCAGCTCTACACAGCAACACAACTTTTTCTGGATAAACAGCTCATAATATGCAGGTGCCAGGTGGTCTGCTAATCTTCAATTTCACCTTTTTCTACAACAAAGAAAGTGGGAAACATGGGGGGTGGGGGGGGGGCGTATCAATGAGGCGGCGGGCATCGGATCGGCAGAATAGGTGTGTGTGTGTGGGGGGGGGGGGGGGGTGGGACTAAAAAATGGCGGAAAATTGGAAGCACTGAACGTTAGAACTATAGAACGAAGACACTTCCTTTTTTTCGGACCCGAGTCCGAATAACATTTTTTCATATTCGGACTCGAGTCCGAATAACGACGGCCTATTCAATATGGAGAGGTTGGTTGTGCTCGAGGTGCTCTTGTTCAAGAAAACAATAAAGAAAACAATACTTGTATAATAAAATAAATGTTTAATCAACACACAACAATTTATCACAAGCCATTAAATCTTGACCGTATTTGGAATACCACGTGAAGTATGCAGCCAATCACATCCGTTCAAATACTGAGTGCAGGTGCTCGATTTAACGTCGTGTCAATTTATCGGCCTCACTCAACTGTCACCACTTGAAGTTCATCACACAACTCTTCTTGGACGCTCAAACTCAAAGACTGACGTGCTCAGTAAACCAATTTTCTTTTTTTTTTTATTCACCTCATCATCATAGTTTATCAACAGAATGCGCAGTAAGTATATATTTCACGGATGGACAAAAAGCGCTACGCAATCCGCTGATCAACAGAATGCGCAACAATCGATGGATTGTCGCGCGTTTCCTCGATCAACCAAATGCGCTGCGCTGTCGATGGATCGCGCAAATCGACAGATCGTGCCCAACATACAGACCCGGTAACCGGGAACAAAGTCACGAAGTATACAGACCCGGTAGGGGAACTCTTTTTGTGATTTCGGAAAGTTTCAGTTCCCAGAGTAGTGTGTTTCTGTGTGTGTGTGTGTGAGAGAGAGAGAGAGAGAGATAAGTGCTAGCAATGCCCCAGTTGGCAAAAGGGAACGAGAAAAAGATAAGAGTGGGAAATAGGTGGGGAGAGAGAAAGACAGAGACAAGCAAAGGAAAAGAGAAGGCGAGCGATACTCAGAGGAGAGAGAGAGAGGCAGAGAAAAGAGAGGGTCACTGCTCGATTGAAATTAATTATGCATTGTTCTTTTCTTCAAATTGTGATTCCTCCAACTCCGAAACGGAGGAAAAACGATCGTTCATCGAAAAGACATCCGCAATCTTCTTTTAGATATAGAGATCTAGATCTAGATCTAAGCTAGCCTCGAAACTAGATCAATGATTTATCATGTCTGTCTGTCTAGATCTAGACCTAGGCCATAGATCTAAAAAACCTTGTCTACCCTGAGCCAAGAGGGTGCTGAAACTTTCCGAAATCACAAAAGAGTTCCCCTACCGGGTCTGTACACTTTGTGACTTTGTTCCCGGTTACCGGGTCTGTATTACACTCCCTTTTTTTGGGGGGGCCTCCTCTATTCTTAACCCGGTTGAGAATAGCACAGGCGAGCCTTTTGGCTATTCTCACCCTGTGTGCGTTCACCGTTATAGCCTAGGCCAACCAGTGTAGCGTTCACCCTGAACCACAGAATTCTACACTGTGATTACAGAATTGTAGAATTCTGTGCTGTGAACAAACGTTCCAGCGCTCTTGTGTTTCTACTGTTAGCCTAAAAAAAGCGTTGCTTATTTTGTCTGTGAGCAGTGGAGAGAGAGAGAGAGAAAGAAAGAGAGAGGAGAAGGGCGAGAAGTTCCAGGCAAAACAAAATGGCGACCCGCGTAGTTCGGCTCGATTCGAAAAGCTAAATAGCCATAGCATCTTTGTAGACGACCAAATTAATTTACTTTTGTGTTTTAACATGATTTTTTAACTTTGTTTTGGTCAATTTGATTGTCCACACCGATAGACAGTATTCAGAAAGAGAGAGAGGGGGGAGGAGTAGATCTTACGAGAACTTCTGGGCAAAACAAAATGGCAACCCCCATAGTTCAGCTCGATTCGAAAAGTGAAATAGCCATAGCATCTTAGTAGACGACCAAATTAGCTTACTTTTTGTGCTACGTCATTTTTTCTTTGCTTTTGTCAATTTGATCATCCACACCAATAGACAGTATTCCGAAATTAGGAAAAACAGGTCTTGTTTCACACCGGGTGAGAATAGCCAATGCTAGCAAGTCTCACCCGGGGTGAGAGGTCGATCGTATTTTTATTCTCACCCTGCGTGAGGATAGCCACTTCCTTTTTTTTTACATGATGAAGGATTTTAGTTTTTGCTGGGTGACTAAAATAGACGTTACTGCCAAGGTTGAGCAGTCTTGTTTTCTCGCAGTACCTTTTGGAGGTATTTTCAAATGAAGTACGTCCGGGAACGTTGCCCCAACCACGACTGAAGTATCTGAATATTCAGACATTTAAAAATCTCTAGCTCTAGAAATTGAATTTGATGCAAAAAATGCTTCTTCCCAGTCCTCGCAGAATGGCAGAATGAAAGGATGACGCCTAAATCTCGCGAATAACCCAAAAAATCTCGAGATCGGAAAGCTTTAGGAGAAATAGAGTTCAGCTTCATTTTCCCAAACATTCTGAGAAATAGTCACTTCGTATAAATTTATCACTGCTCTGCCTTCCCAACCACCACGCACCGCGTGTGGCAAACCAGTCGTGCGAAGAGCGCGAGAGGAGGAAGGCTAACATTGGATGGTCCTATTCTTCATTCACGTGTTGTAGAAGTCGGGGGGTCTCCCCCCCCTGACAAACTATTAAAATGAATAGATCTACCAGTTCGAAATTCCTCATTCTGGTTGTAAGAAGGTGGAGGTTGTT